CCATCAACTCCGCTGGACCGGTCATGTTGTCCGGATGCCTGACAACCGTCTCCCAAAACAGTTGCTCTACTCCGAACTCAAGAGCCGAAAACGCAATGTTGGTGGGCAGGAAAAGAGATGGAAAGATGGGCTCAAAGCCAACCTTAAAAACTCTGGCATAGACACTGAGAACTGGGAAGCCCTGGCCCTTGAGCGCTCCAGCTGGAGGTCAGCTGTGACCAGCAGTGCTGCAGAATTTGAAGATGCACGAATGGAGGTGAAAGAGAGAGACATGCCAAGAGGAAGGGGCGTCAAGCCAACCCCGACCGGGACCACCTTCCACCTGGAAACCGATGCCCTCACTGCAGGAGAACATACAGATCAAGAATAGGGTTCCACAGTCACCTACGGACCTACCATCAGGACACTGACCCTGGAAGACTATCCTACTCGGACAACGAGGGATCACCTAAGTGAAGTAAGTGAAGTGAACATACAAATACATTTTCGGCATGATCATACACCAGGCCCCCATGATGCACTCTACATCCTACTGCAGTTTGGTTCTGGCCCAGACTACTTGTCCGAATGTATCTCCTGCTATGAACCATCATGAAGCTTAAGATCGTCAGGAGAGGCTCTGCTCCCGATCCCACCACTCTCGCAAACGCAATTGGTGAGGACGAACGAGAGACAGAGCCTTCTTGGCAGTGGTCCCCCGTCTGTGGACTATATATATTGCAAGTATCGCGGATGCCTATGTGAGGCCGCCCTGGGTCCCCCTTGTGGGGAGAAGGGTGGGATAGAAGTGTACGAAATAAATAAATAAATAAATAAATAAATAAATAAATAAGGAGGGTGAACCATGGATGATGGGACTTGAAGTCCCTCGACTCACTTCCTGAGACCGCTGCGACCCTCATCCAAGGACTGATCAAGACCAAACTTGGCACACAGAGTCCCCATGTCCCACTCTACATCCTGGTGCTGTTTGGAGGAGGATGGACCATGGATGATGACTTGCAGTACCTTCACTCAATTCTTGAGACCACAGAGACACTCATCTAATTACCAATCAAGACCAAACTTGGCACACAGAGCCCACATGACCCACTCTACATCCTGGTGCAGTTTGGAGGAGGATGGACCATGGATGATGGGACTTGCAGTACCTTCACTCAATTCCTGAGACCACAGCAACACTCATCCAATTACTGATCAAGACCAAACTTGGCATACAGAGCCCACATGACCTACTCTACATCCTGGTGCAGTTTGGAGGAGGATGGACCATAGACGATGGGACTTGTAGTACCTTCACTCAATTCTTGAGACCACAGCGACAGTCATCCAATTAGCAATCTAGACCAAACTTGGCATACAGAGCCCTCATGACCCACTCTACATCCTGGTGCAGTTTGGGGGAGGATGGACCATGGATGATGGGACTTGCAGTACCTTCACTCAATTCTTGAGACCACAGCGACACTCATCCAATTACCAATCAAGACCAAACTTGGCATACAGAGCCCACATGACCCACTCTACATCTTGGTGCAGTTTGGGGGAGGACAGACCACGGATGATGGAACTTGAAGTACCTCCACTCACTTCCCAAGACTGCTGCAGACCTCATCTAATGACTGATCAAGGCCAAACTTGGCACACACAGCCCCCATGACCCCCTCTACATCCTGGTTCTGTTCGGAGGAGGATGGACCATAGACGATGGGACTCACAGTACCTTCACTAACTTCCTGAGACCACTGCAAGCCACATAAATAACTGATAAAGACCAACCTTGGCACACAATTCCTTTCTCAAATAACCCAGGCACCATCGGGTCCCCAAGCTAGTTAATAATCAAAATAACAACAACCTGCCGCACCACAATAAATGCATCTCCGCAGAGGAACAGACCTCTGCAACCCAACCTCCATCCTCCCTGAATGAAGGATCAGCCGCGCCCTGAAAGCTTCGAAACCCTCTTACACAACTGTTTGGGCAAGATCCTCCCTTTCCCAACAAACCCGAAGCTGTGCTTGCCATTTGTCTCAGGAATCCTGCATTAATAAACATGAAGAGGAGCACTTCTTTACCTCCCACACTCAGGGACCGGAGGAAACAAAGGCCAGCTGTAGTCATCAATGGGTCCTTGTTCCGCACATAAAGGCCTGATTGCGTTTTATTTCAAGCCTACACATGGAAAACTTCGCCGCTGGTTTGTCTTGTCAATTTTCAGATTCGGGCGTCCCAGCTGGCGCATGTTTTCCGATCGCTTTTAACCCCTTCGTTGCCCCAGAGATGGCCAACGCAAGGACTTACGTATTGGCCAAAGGGGACAAACACACCTAACTCACAGGCAGTGAGTACTCAAGTAAGAAAATGGATCCCGTTGAAATTGCACCCCCGAAAAGTGGGCTGACGCAACCCAGAATAGGATGAGGGCAAGTGATCTTTGAAATTGTGTGGTTTCCTAGCTGTGTGGGCAACATGTTACAGCAGCACTGGCTCCTTTGTCCACGAAAAGTGAAAATCCGCGAAGTAGGGATGCTATATACAGTAGAGCCCCGGTTATTCGACTTCTGCTTATCTGACACTCTGTATTATCCGCTACCACTGCCTTTACCACTTTCCCTCGCTCGCTCCTTCGCCCTTTCCTCCATCGCTCGCTCACTCACCATGCCGAGTCCTGGTTCTGCCATTGCGATCCATCCTGGTGAGTGAACGAGCGAGGGAAGGCAGTGGCGGCGGCAGAAGTAGGAGCCTGGAAGAGACATTGCCACCCTTCTCGCTTGCTCACTCACCCATTCCTCCTCGCTCACTACTCACCAGGCCGAGTCCTGTTCTGTTGCCGGGACCTGACCAGTGAGTGAGCAAGCAAGGGAGGGTGGGTGGATGGGTGAGTGAGCGAGGGTGGCAAAGGCAGCAGAAGTAGGAGCCTGACCACCTCTTCCAGGCTCCTGCTTCTGCCGCTGCTTCGGTCTTTGCAGCCCTTCCTCCCTCGCTACTCACCAGGCTTGGTCCCAGTGGCAGAAGCACGACTTGGCCCGGTGAGTAGTGAGAGGGCGAGGGAAGATGAGTGGGTGGGTGAGTGAGCAAGGGAGGGTCGCAAAGGAGGAAGCAGCGACAGAAGCACGAAGCAAGAGCCTGGAAGAGGCGACCAGGCTCTTGCTTCTCCCGCTGCTTCTGCCTTTGTGGTCCTCCTTCGCTCGCTCACCCACCCTCCCTTGCTCGCTCACTACTCACTGGGGTGCGTCCCGGTGGCAGAACCAGGACTCGGCCCAGTGAGTAGCAAGGAAGGAAAACTGTGAAAGAGCAAGTCTGCGAAAAGCGAACCGCAAAGTAGCGACAGAAGCAGGAGCCTGGAAGAGGCGACCAGGCTCCTGCTTCTGCCTTTGTGGCCCCCCCTCGCTCACTCACCCACCCTCCCTTGCTTGCTCTCTACTCATCAGGCTGCGTCCCGATGGCAGAATCAGGACTCGGCCCGGTGAGTAGCAAGGTGAGTAGCAAGGAAGGCTTCATCCTGGTGGCAGAACCAGGACTCGGCCCAGTGAGTAGCAAGGAAGGAAAACCGTGAAAGAGCAAGTCTGCGAAAAGCGAACCGCAAAGTAGCGACAGAAGCAGGAGCCCGGAAGAGGCGACCAGGCTCCTGCTTCTGCCTTTGTGGTCCCCCCACTCGCTTGCTCACCTACCCATCCTCTCTTGCTCGCTCGCTACTCACCGGGCTGTGTCCCAGAGGCAGAACCAGGACTCGACCCAGTGAGTAGCAAGGAAGAAAAACCGTGGAAAGAGCAAGTCTGCGAAAAGTGAACTGCAAAGTAGTGACAGAAGCAGGAGCCTGGAAGAGGCGACCAAGCTCCTGCTTCTGCCTTTGTGCCCCCCCCCCTCGCTCGCTCATCCGCCCTCCCTTGCTCGTTTGCTACTCACTGGGCTATGTCCCGGTGGCAGAACCAGGACTCGGCCTGGTGAGTAGCAAGGAAGAAAAACCGCGAAAGAGCAAGTCTGCGAAAAGCGACAGAAGCAGGAGCCTGGAAGAGGCGACCAGGCTTCTGCTTCTGCATTGTGGCCCCCCCCCGCTCGCTCACCCGCCCTCCCTTGCTCGCTCGCTACTCACCAGGCTGCGTCCCGGTGGCAGAACCAGGACTCAGCCTGGTGAGTAGAAAGGAAGAAAAACCGCAAAAGAGCAAGTCCGCGAAAAGCGAACCGCAAAGTAGCAAGGAAACGCTGTATTATTATTATTATATTATTATTATTATTAGAAACACAAGATGAGTCCACAGTAGACAAGATAACTCTGCTGGCTGTTGTATTGGATCACACATCGGACACTTCCATTATTATTATTATTAATATTATTATTATTATTATTGGATATACCCTAAAGTCCATCAGGCTCATCCTATTATTATTATTATTATTATTATTATTATTATTATTATTATTATTATTATGGGATATACCCTGGTCCATCAGGTTCACCCATTATTATTATTATTATTATTATTATAATTATTATTATTATTATTATTATTATGGGATATACCCTAAAGTCCATCAGGCTCATCCTATTATTATTATTATTATTATTATTATTATTATTATTATTATGGGATATACCCTGGTCCATCAGGCTCATTCTATTATTATTATTATTATTATTATTATTATTATTATTATTATTATTATTATTATTGATATACTGAAACCAATGTAGACACTTTATCTTCAGTTTTATTTGTTATAAGTGAATAATACATACAGATTCCAGTAAGGTTGCCTTCTGCAGCTGCAGATGGTAATTTTGTCAGCGCCGATTGTGTTTAAGTGCAGGCCAAGGTCTTTAGGCACTGCACCCAGATTATTATTATTATTATTATGAATATGAACAATAAGAGGGCAGGGGTTGGACTGGATAGCTCTTAGGTCTATGATTCTCTGAGACCCAAGACGGACTCTCCTTATAGCCATGGAGATCCATCTCAGATCTATTTTAGCCAAGTGGTTTAAATGGGGCTTACTTTGCCGTCGTCTCTTCGTCGTATTTTGTCTTCAGGTCAAACAATTCTGTCTGCGTCTTTTCCAAAGCTGAGGGGACAAAAAAACAAAACATAAACAAAAACAAAACACAAGCGACATGTTGAAGCATTACTGACATGGCAAGAGCGACATGCTCAAAACGACGACTCGATTACGAGTGAGCTAGAAATGGCTCTCTGTCGGCCCAGTCGCCTTGCATTAAGCCACCAAACAGAATCATTGCTGAAAAACAATGCTTAAAAGCTTTTCAGAATACTTTCCTCCCGCAAACGCGCAGAAGCGCATAAACAAGCCCAGCCCCAAGTGCCCTCTTGTTTATTTTACTGACACGAAACCACAGTATGTCACAGCAAACGAGATCTATATGCTGGATTTCGTATCACAAAATCACAAGTCAAACACTTCCCAAGCGTCTAGGACAGTGTGATGTATTTTCGAATGATGCGTGCAGTCGACAGATCGTGATTTTGTCAATGTTTATTGTTTCCAAATGTTTGGAAACAATTATTATTATTGACACAAAAGCACAGTATGTCACAGCAGACGAGATCTATATGCTGGATTTCGTATCACAAAATCACAAGTCGAATACTTCCCAACCGTCTAGGACAGTGTGATGTATTTTCGAATGATGCGTGCAGTCAACAGATCGTGATTTTGTCAATGTTTATTGTTTCCAAATGTTTGGAAACAATTATTATTACTATTATTGACACAAAAGTACAAAATGTCACAGCAAACGAGATCTATATGCTGGATTTCGTATCACAAAATCACAAGTTGAACACTTCCCAAGTGTCTAGAACTGTGTGATGTATTTTCGAATGATGCGTGCAGTCGACAAATCGTGATTTTGTCAATGTTTATTGTTGTTTCCAAATGTTTGGAAACAATTATTATTATTATTATTATTGACACAAAAGTACAAAATGTCACAGCAAATGAGATCTATATGCTGGATTTTGTATAACAAAATCACAAGTCGAACACTTCCCATTATTATTATTATTATTATTATTATTATTATTATTATTATTATTATTATTATTATTATTGCTCCCACTGCCAAACACAAGAGTTGCAATGGAAAAGCAGACCTTTGTAAGACCCCGTTGAGTCCCCCAAAGCAATTATTTTCTTGGTGTCTTCGTTTTTAGGCCTGTTCCTGGGGTTATTTAGAGTGCCAATTCAGAATTTATTTATTTTTTGTCGTGTCAGGAACGACTTGAGAAACTGCAAGTCGCTTCTGGTGCGCGAGAATTGGCCATCTGCAAGGACATTGGCCAGGGGATTCCCGGATGTTTTGATTTTTATCATCCTTGTGGGAGGCTTCTCTCATGTCCCCGCATGAAGAGCTGGAGCTGATAGACGGAGCTCATCCGCGCTCTCCCCCCAGATTTGAACCTGTGACCTGTCGGTCTTCAGTCCTGCCGGCACAGGAGTTTAACCCACTGCGCCACCGGGGGCTCCTTTTTCTATTTTCTGAATCAGCTGATGTGGTCTATCCAATGCAATTTTCTGACTCAGCTGATGTGATCTATCCAATGCAATTTAATGAATCAGCTTATATGGTCTATCCAATGCAATTTTCTGAATCAGCTGATGTGGTCTAGCCAATGCAATTTTCTGAATCAGCTCATGTGGTCTAGCCAATGCAATTTTCTGAATCAGCTCATGTGGTCTAACCAATGCTATTTTCTGAATCAGCTGATGTGGTCTATCCAATGCTATTTTCTGAATCAGCTGATGTGGTCTATCCAATGCTATTTTCTGAATCAGCTGATGTGGTCTATCCAATGCAATTTTCTGAATCAGCTGATGTGGTCTATCCAATGCTATTTTCTGAATCAGCTGATATGGTCTATCCAATGCAATTTTCTGAATCAGCTGATGTGGTCTATCCAATGCAATTTTCTGAATCAGCTGATGTGGTCTAGCCAATGCAATTTTCTGAATCAGCTGATGTGATCTATCCAGTGCAATTTTCTGAACCAGCTGATGTGGTATAACCACATCAATTTTCTGAATTAGCTGTTGTAGTTTATCCAATGCAATTTCATTAATCAGCTGATGTTGATCTATCCAGTGTTATTTTCTGAATCAGCTGATGTGGTCTACACAGTGCAATTTTCTGAATCAGCACACCAAATAACCAAACCAAATCCAAAGTTGACCAAAAACTGATTTGTAACCCTTTTGGTACTAATGCTGGAGAGTGGTCCCTAGTCAAAAAAAGGTTCGGAACCACTGCTATAGTGCAGGATGTCCCTCCCTCCCGAAAAGACCAAGTTTAGGAAGTTTGATAAACTTTTCCCATGTTTTTATGACAGACCCAATTAAGAAATGAGAGTGATAACCCAGGAACAAGAATCGTGTCACATAGTGTTATTTGCGACTATTGAAGAGATATGACAGCAATGCTCCTTGCCATAATAGGCTGTGTTCCAGTGCTGAGCAAGTGGGCCATCAACTGCTAGCCTGCAGGATGCCTCCAGTTGTAGCCAATGGGCATAAATATGATGTGAGTCCCTGTTCCCACAGAAAAGACCCACAATCCCTATCCCAACGATGGCCAAGAAACAGTGAGTGTTGCATCGAAGAGCACAGATCGGGCCTGCTTCCCACCCCATTGCAAAGGAGGGAGAAAATCACCCACCTGTTTGTAATGCCTGCATTTTGTGCTCTGCCTCCTCCAGCTTAGAGGCCGTTGAGATCTGTGTCTCTTGTAACATTCTGTAAGGAGAGTAGACAGGAGATGTATTTTAATATGGATTTTATATTTTAATATCCATCTGTTTATGAAAATTTTGCAATGGGTTGCTGTGAGTTGTTCAGAGGGAATGCTGCTGGAACATGGCCAGGCAGCCCAAAAAACTCAGCAACCCAGTAATTCTGGCCATGAAAGACTTTGACAACACAATTTTTGCAATGTTTGTGTGTTTTGACTATGCCAGGACTAGAAATGGAAAGTCCTGGAAAAAACTAGAAAAACTGGGAGGAAAACAGGAAAAAAACCTGAAAAAATTGGGAAAAAACACTGAAAAATTCAGAACATTTGGGGGAAAAAACTTTTTTCTCTAATTTTCTATTTTTTTCAAGCCTTCCCATCTCTAGCTGTGACCTGCCTTGAGGAGAGGAAGGATAGAAATAACAACAACAACAACAAATAGAATTATTGTGTTATCGAAGGCTTTAATGGCCAGAATTACTGGGTTGCTATAAGTTTTCCAGGCTTTATGGCCATTTTTCAGAAACATCCTCTCCTGACATTTCGCCTGCATCTATGGCAGGCATCCTCAGAGGTTGTGTGGTCTGTTGGAAACTAGGCAACTGGGGTTTATATACCTGTGGAATAATGTCCAGGGTGGGAGAAAGAACTCTTGTCTGTTGGAGGCAAGTGAGAATGTTGCCATTGGTCACTTTGATTAACATTGAATGGCCTTGCAGCTTCATAGCCTACTGCCTCCTGCGTAGGGGAATCCTTTGTTGGAGGTGTTAGCTGGCCCTGACTTTTTTTCATGCCAGGAATTCCCTCGTTTTCCGACTGTTGTTTTTTATTTGCTATCCTGATTTTAGAGTTTTTAATACTGGGAGCCACATTTTGTTCATTTTCATGTTTATGATTTGAGAACACAGAAATGCTAGACCACTCTCACAACCACTCTCAGAAGCCATTGAAATACACAATAAGGTGGACAATTTCAACAGAAAAGAAGAAACCATGAAAATGAACAACATCTGGCTCTCATTATTTTTTAAAAATCACTAAAATTAGGCAAGTCAATAAAGAGCAACACTCAGAAAACAGGGGAATACCAGACAGGAAACAATCAGGGCCAGCTAACACCCCCCAACCTTGACTGGCTTGTGCCAGAGTCTTTGCAGTTCGATTTTTAAATCCTCATATTGTGTCATTATTATTATTATTATTATTATTATTATTATTATTATTATTATGTCAGGCATTCTCTCCTGACGTTTCGCCTGCATCTATGGCAAGCATCCTCAGAGGTAGTGAGGTCTGTTGGAACTAGGAAAATGGGTTTATATATCTGTGGAATGACCAGGGTGAGACAAAGGACTCTTGTCTGCTGGAGCTAGGTGTGAATGTTTCAACTGACCACCTTGATTAGCATACAATGGGCTGACTGTGCCTGGAGCAAACTTTTGTTGAGAGGTAATTAGATGTCCCTGCCTGCTTCCTCTCTGTTGTTTTGCTGTTGCAATTTTAGAGTTTTTTAATACTGGTAGCCAGATTTTGTTCATTTTCATGGTTTCCTCCAGGCACAGTCAGCCCATTGTATACTAATCAAGGTGGTCAGTTGAAACATTCACACTTAGCTCCAGCAGACAAGAGTCCTTTGTCTCACCCTGGTCATTCCATACAGCCCGAAAAAACCTACAACAACAAGAATAATTATTCTTCTTCATCATCATCATCATCATCATCACCATCATCATCATCATCATCATCATACTGCTGGGCCTCTACCATCATCACAGCATACTACCTTCTGGTTTTCCCAAGGTGCCCACAGACATTAATTTGGGCCAGCGGGTTTTATGGTACGAGAGATCTCGCCACCCTGTTAATTTGTGCTTCATTCATCTATGTAATTACAAGTGTTTATTGTACTTTGGGTGCCAATGGTTCTGGGAATCCTGCTGATGGGAAGTTCAACAATAATATAATGGTCMCCCCCCCCCCCCCAAATTAACAACAATACTGAGTTTGCTGCCACAATCCTACAAACACACCACATTTTGCTGAAGGTTGGTGCAGGGCAAACTCGGATGCCCCTGTCCTTAGTTACCGAGATAAGTCTACTGAAATCTTCCTGACTGTGAGAGCTGTTCAGAAGTGGAACTCTCTGCTCTGGAGAGAGTGTGGGAGGCTCCCTGTTTGGAGGCTTTTCAAAAGAGGCTGGGTGGCCATCTGCTGGAAGGGCTTTGAAGGTGATTTTTCTGCTTCTTGTCAGAATGGGCTTGGACTGGATGACCCACAAGGTCTCCTACTCTAGGATTCTATGATTCTATGATATTAACTACTCATCCCCTGCCACGTGTAGCTGTGGCCCAGTCTGTGTATATGTGTTTTGTGTGTGTATATATGTGTGTGTACGTATATGTGTATATAAGTGTGTTTGCACACACACACACACACACACACACACACACACACACATATATATGTTGTTGTATATATATGTGTGTGTATGTTTTTTAATTTATTTTTTTATTTATATATACACATACACACACATATTTTTTATTTTAAAAAATTAAAAAATATATGTGTGTGTATGTGTATATATGTGGCTGTGCGCATGTGTTGTAATGTATTTTTTTTATTTTTTGGCTTTTTAAGTCCCTTCCGCTGTGTTTTTCAGTGTTTTTATGAGTGATGGTCACTCGTCGGCCTTGTAGGTGTCTTGTGTCCAAATTTGGTGTCAATTCGTCCAGTGGTTTTTGAGTTATGTTAATCCCACAAACGAACATTACGTTTTTATTTATATAGATGAAATCAATGGGATTGGACCATCGCTGTTGCCTCCTCGCTCTCGGCGGCTGCGCTGTGGGCTTACCTTTCTTTCTCGGCAAAGTCATTCTGCAACTTCTGTTCCTTCTCGAGAGCAAGGTTCTCTGCTTGGTTCTTCAGGGTTTGCTCGTACTCCCGGATCTTCTCCTTAAGTGCTTTTATTGTCACCTCTGTAAGAAGGGAAGAGGCAAAAGGAGAGAGAGAGAGCTTCACGGCTGCCCATTTTTCCTACCCTTCCTGCGCAGCCGCAGCAGCCGCCTGGCTTCAACTGGAGCTCTTCAACCCTGACACAAAATCAATGGCTACGAGCCTCTTTGGAGACCTTTTACGCTCTAAACGCTAAATTGAACTTTAAATGTCTTCAGGTTGAGAAGGATCAACGGGCTTCGCTGGGAAGCAGAGCTACCTGCAGACCAGGAAGACACTTAGCGGCACAAGGGCCGATTCACCCGGCCCAGACCAGGTCTGACTCTGAGCAAGGACGGAGTCAGACCCAGACTAGCTGACACTCCCTTCAAGCCAGGCTTTCTCTAGACCAAGGTGGAAAGGCTGGGCATCAGGGGCCTGGGCAGGTTCTACCAGAAAAGTAGGCCTCCGTTGCCCTTGGCAATCTCTCCCAAGGGTTTTAACCGTTGACTACTGATGGGGTGTCACTGGGACCGCTGCCCACCTACTTTCTCCCTTCCCCAGCTCTGGGAGGGCCTATCTCACAATGTCTCCATGGCACCTTCTTTCCTTCCATCCTTTCCTCTTTCCTTCCTCCTTTCTTTCCCATCCTCCTTGGTTCCGTCCTTCCTTCCCTCCCTCTTGTCTTCCTTATTTCCCTTCCTCCTTGCTTCTGCCCTGTCTTTCCTTCTGTCCTTCCTTCCCTCTGTCCTTCCTTGCTTCCCTCCTTCATTCCCTCCCTGTCTGTCCTTCCTGTCTTCTGACTTCCTTCCATTTCCTTCCTTCCCTCTTTGCTTCTGTCTGTCTTTTCCTTTCTACATTCCCTCCCTCCTTCCTTCTCTCCTTGCTTCTGTCCTTCCTTCCTTCCTTCCCTTTTGTCTTCCTTCCTTCACTCCCTCTTTCCCTGCATCTGTCCTTCCTTCTGTCTTCCTTCTTTCTGTTCTTCCCTCCCTCCATCTTGCCTTCTTTCTTTCACTCCCTCCCTTTTGTGCCTCTCCTTCCTTCCTTGCTTGCTTCTGTCCTTCCTTCCCTCTTTCTTCCTTCCTTCCTTCCTCTTTCCTCATCTTCCTTCCTTCTTCCTTCTTCCTTCCCTCCTTCTTTCATTCCTTCTCTCCCTTCTTCCTTCCTTCCCTCCTTCTTTTTTTCCTTCCTTCCTACTTTCCTTCCTTCCTTCTCTTCTTTCTTTCCTTCCTTCCTTCCTTCACTCCTCCCCTCCCTCCTTCCTTCCTTCTTCTTCCTTCTTTCTTCTTCCCTCCCCTCTTTCTTCTTCCTCCCTCCCTTCTTCCTTCCTCCTTCTTCCTTCCTTCCTTCCTTCCTTCCTTCCTTCCCTTCTTCCTTCCTTTCCTCCCCTCCCTCCCTCCCTCCCTCCCTCCTTGCTTCTATCCTTCCTTCCTTCCCTCTTGTCTTCCTTCCCACTCCCTCTTTCCCTACATCTGTACTTCCTTCTGTCTTCTGTCTTTCTTCCATCCTTCGTTCCTTCCATCCTTCTTTCATTCCTTCTCTCCTTCTGTCTTCCTTTCCTCCTTCTTTTATTCCTTCTATCCTTCCTTCCTTCTCTCGGTCTTTGCTTGTCTTTCCTTCCTTCCTTCACTCTCTTTGTTCCTTCCCTCGTTTCATTCCTTCTCTCCTTCTGTCATCCTTCCTTCCCTCCTTCTTTTATTCCTTCCTTCCTTCTGTCCTTTCTTCACTCCCCCATCTGTCCTTCCTTCCTTTCTATCATCCTTGCTTCTGTTCTTCTTTCCTTCCTTCCCTCCTTCTGTTCTTCCTTCGCTCCCTCCCTCTTCCTTCCTTCCTTTCTATCATCCTTGCTTCTGTCCTTCCTTCCTTGTATCCTTCTGTCTTCCCTCCCTCCCTCCATTCTGTCCTTCCTTCCTTCTCACCTTGCTTCTGTCCTTCTTTTCTTCCTTCCTACTTTCCTTCCTTTCTATTCTCCTTGATCCTGTCCTTCCTTCATTCTCTCCCTCCCCTTTGTCTTCCTTCCTTCACTCCCTCTTCCCCTGCATCTGTCCTTCTTTCCTTGTGTCCTTCCTTCCTTCCTCCTTTATTCCTTCCCTCCTTCTGTCCTTCCTTCCCTCCTGCCCTACTTTTGTCCTTCCTTCCTATCCTCCTTGCTTTCTTTCCTTCTCTCCTTCTGTCTTCCCTCGCTCCTTCTTATCTTGCTTCTATCCTTCTTTCCTTCCTTCCTACTTTCCTTACTTCCTACTCTCAGTATTTGCTTGTACTTCGTTCCTTCACTCTCTCTCTCCCTGCACCTGTCCTTCCTTCTGTCTTCCTTCTTTCTGTCCTTCCCCGCCTCCATCTTGTTGTCTTTCCTTCCCTCTTTCTCCTTCCTTCAATCCTTCCCTCCTTCCTTCCTTTTGTCTTCCCTTCCTTCTCCCACCCCAAAACCCGGAAGATCTTAAAGAGACGCGCGCTCGGCTGCCCAAGATAATAGCATTTCCATGTACAGCGGACACTTTCGAACCATTTATGTGCCCACTCGCTTAAGTCACCAGCTGACTTTCCTTGGCTGCGCTCTGCCCTCGGGATAAACAAACCGTAAGTACAGTACCGAGGCAGCATCGCACATTAATCTGTTGGGAGAAAATGGCGCAGGGCTAAGCAAGCGTTTACTGCAAACGCGGTACCAGCAGCACAACAAGAAATGCCAACACTAAAAGCCAGTTGACGATATAATGAAAGGGGCAAACTTGGGGCCTTCAGGTGTTTTGGACTTCAACTCCCATCATGCCTAACAAGGCCACCTCTCCATTCCCCGCCGACCCTCACGGGCGAGCTTACCTTGATTTTTGACTTCTGCAAATTCTTTGTTGTACTCCTCAAGAGTTTCCCGGAGTTTCTGGTTCTCGGTTTCGATGTCGTGCATGCGTTGGACTTTCAGCTGGAGCTGCTGCCCCAGATCCAGAGCGGGAGAAGGATCTATACGGGACAAAAGCAAAGGAGCGGGTGGGTACGGACATTACGCTACGTCACGCCATTTTTGCTCCTGGGCGATCAATGACATTTCGTAATTATCTATATAAATAAAAATGTAATGTTTGTTTGTGAGATTAACATAACTCAAAAACCTCTAGACGAATTGACACCAAATTTGGACACAAGACACCTAACAACCCAATGTATGTCCTTCACTCAAAAAATTTGATTTTGTCATTTGGGAGTTGTATTTGCTGGGATTTATAGTTAACCTATAATCAAAGAGCATTCTGAGCTCCACCAATGATGGAATTGAACCAAACTTGGCACACAGGACTCCCATGACCAACAGAAAACACTGGAAGGGTTTGGTGGGCATTGACCTGGAGTTTGGGAGTTGTAGTTCACCTACATCCAGAGAACAATGATGGACCTAGTCTAAATTTGGCACAGATACGTAATTTGGCACAGATACTAAACATGTCCAATTGTGAACACTGGTGGGGTTTGGGGAAAATAGACCTTGACATTTGGGAGTTGCAGTTGCTGGGATTTATAGTTCACCAACAATCAAAGAGCATTCTGAATTCCAACAATGATGGAATTGAACCAAACTTGGTACACAGAACTCACACGACCAACAGAAAACACTGGAAGGGTTTGGCGGGTATTGACACATACACATACACACAGACACAAATACATACATATACATATATACACACAACACAACACAACATACACACATATATACACACACACACATACACATACTTTGGATAGCATAGAGAAGGATGAAAACTAATCATAGAATCATAGACTCCTAGAATTGGAAGAGAAGGGTTTGGTGGGCATTGACCTGGAGTTTGGGAGTTGTAGTTCACCTACATCCAGAGAGCACTGTGGACTCAAACAATGATGGACCTAGTCTAAGCTTTGCACGGATACTCAACATTCCCAAATGTGAACACTGGTGGAGTTTGGGGAAAATAGACCTTGACATTTGGGAGTTGCAGTTGCTGGGATTTATAGTTCACCTACAATCAAAGAGCATTCTGAATTCCACCAACAATGGAGTTGAACCAAACTTGACACAGAGAACTCCCATGACCAACAGAAAACACTGGAAGGCTTTGATGGGTATTGACACACACACACACACACACACATATACATACATATACATATATACACACAACACACACACATAAACACACACACACTTTGGATAGCATAGGGAAGGAAGCATAGAGTTGGAAGAGACCTGGTGAGCCATCCAGTCCAACCCCATTCAGCTTTGAAACAGAGGCTGGATGGCCATCTGTCAGGGGGTCTTTGCATGCGATTATCCTGCTTCTTGGCAGAATGAGATTGGGCTGGATGGCCTACGAGGTCTCTTCCACCTCTATGATTTTATGTTCAGCAGTGGAACTCTCTGCCCCGGAGTGTGGTGGAGGCTCCTTCTTTGGTGGCTTTGAAACAGAGGCTGGATGGCCGTCTATTAGGGGGGTTTGAATGCAATTTTCCTGCTTCTTGGTGGAATGGGGTTGGGCTGGATAGGCCACGAGGTCTCTTCCACCTCTATGATTCTATGTTCAGCAGTGGAACTCTCTGCCCCGGAGTGTGGTGGAGGCTCCTTCTTTGGAGGATTTGAAGCAGAGGCTTGATGGTCGTCTATTAGGGGCGCTTTGAATGCGATTTTCCTGCTTCTTGGCAGAATGGGGTTGGATTGGATGGCCTACGAGGTCTCTTCCACCTCTATGATTTTATGATTCTATGTTCAGCAGTGGGAGATGTTGACTCTAAGCTGGAATGCTTCCAGTGGAGGGTGACTAAAATGATTGAGGGTCTGGAGAACAAGCCCTATGAGGAGTGGCTTAAGGAGCTTAAGGAGCGGGACATGTTTAGCCTGAAGAAGAGAAGGCTGAGAGGATACATGATGAGGGCAGGGATCGAGATGTGATAGGGAGGGAGCAAGTTTCCTTTCTGCTGCCCTGGAGACTAGGATGCAGTAGAGCAATGGCTTCAAACTACAAGAAAGGAGATTCCATCTGAACATGAGGAAGAACTTCCTGACTGTGAGAGCCGTTCAGCAGTGGAACTCCCTGCCCCAGAGGAAGTGTGGTGGAGGCTCCTTCTTTGGAGGCTTTGAAACAGAGGCTGGATGGCCATCTGTCAGGGGGGCTTTGAATGCGATATTCCTCCTTCTTGGCCAAATGGGATTGGACTGGATGGCCCATGAGATCTCGTTCCACTCTAGGATTCTAGGATTCTATGACCTGCCTGGAAACTCGGGGACAGCTTGTAATTTCATTTCCTGTTGTCTGGGATGCAACGCTGGCCGATTTTTGCTCTGATCGAGCCCACCAGATGAGCCTATGCACGAGTCAAGATGCCACGGCTGAGCCGATCGGTCCGGGAGAACGCCAGAGGGATGCCAAGCCCGCCAAGGAGCGCAAGGACAGCCCTGGCACCCAGAGAGGCCTCATAAAGCACTTCTCTCCGCGGTGGGCGCCAGCTTCACTTGTGAAACGGCTGCGAAGATTTAGTCTCCCGCTGAGGAATGTTAAACACACCGGTCTCGGAGGATCAACAATGGTACATATTAGGGAGCGGGCTTAATTTGCAGCCTGCCACCACCATCAATTTGAGAAAGACCACCCTCCGTCTGGGGAACGGCACAAGGAGCCCATTGTGCCTCCCGTAATGTGCCGAGCGCACTTTGCAACCCGTCAGGCCGGTGCCAGCGTTTACAGAAGAGTGGTCCTGGGTTGTGTCACTGGCAAAGAGGCAGGCCGGGTGTGCTGGGCTGTGTCACTCGCCGTAATAATGCAAGGCGGCAGGGAGCGGGCGGGCGAGCGGCCTCGCGGCGCATGCATAGTTTATAACTACACCGCTTTCTCATTTGCAGTTGTTAGAAGAGGGCTGTTGTTGTTTCCCTGCATTATTAGTGCTGTTAAAATATTCATCGCACATTATTCAATGCTGGGAGGATTCGGGTGCAATTCTAATGTTGGGGAGGAGGAGGTGCCGCAGGACGGACGAGCGAGTGATTGGGGATCCCGTACAATGACCACCAGGTCCTGGCCTCCCACTGTCGAGCACAACACCCCAAAGAAGACAGTAAATAGAGAACATTCAAAAACAGGGGAATTCCAGGCAAGAAGCAATCAGGGAAAACTAATCACCTCCCAACAAAGGATTCCCCCAGGCAGTAAAAGGCCATTAAACAGCCATTAAAAGCTAATCAAGATGGCCAATTGCTACATTCACGCTTACCTCCAACAGACAAGAGTTCTTTCTCCCACCCTGGACATCATTCCACAGGGATATATGCAAACCCGATTTTCCTAGTTTCCAGCGAACCAACAAGGGATTCCCCCAGGCAGTAAAAAGCCAGACCTTGAAGCTACAAGGCCATTTAATGCTAATCAAGGTGGCCAACTGCTACATTCAAGCCTACCTCCAACAGACAAGAGTTCTTTCTCCCACCCTGGACATCATTCCACAGGGATATATGCACACCCGAATTTCCTAGTTTCCAATGAACCAACAAGGGGTTCCCCCAGGCAGTAAGAAGCCAGTCCTTGAAGCTGCAAGGCCATTAAATGCTAATCAAGGTGGCCAACTGCTACATTCACTCCTACCTCCAACAGACAAGTGTTTTTTCTCCTGCCCTGGACATCATTCCACAGGGATATAAGCAAACCCCATTTTCCTAGTTTCCAATGAATCAACAAGGGGTTCCCCCATGCACTAAGAAGCCAGACCTTGAAGCTACAAGGTCAATTCCTTGAAGCTACAAGGTCATTAAAAGCTAATCAAGGTGGCCAATTGCTACATTCATGCCTACCTCCAACAGTCAAGAGTTCTTTCTCCCACCCTGAACATCATTCCACAGGGATACATGCAAACGCCATTTTCCTAGTTTCTACCAAACCAACAATGGGTTCCCCCATGCACTAAGAAGCCAGACCTTGAAGCTGCAAGGCCATTAAATGCTAATCAAGCTGGCCAAGTGCTACATTCACGCCTACTTCCAACAGATAAAAGTTTTTTCTCCCACCCTGGAAATCATTCCACAGATACATAAACCCCATTTTCCTAATTTCCAATAGATCTCTCAACCTCTCAGCATGCCTGCTATAGATGCAAGGAAAACGTCAGGAAAGAATGCTTCTGGAACATGGCTAGCCAGCCCGGAATACTCACAACAACCCATTATAGCTTTTTTAAAGCGTTTACATTGTCCTTGAATTTGGGAGTTGTAGTTCACCTACATTCAGAGAGCACTGTGGACTCAATGATGGAACATATTGGCACAAATACTCAATATGCCCAAATTTGAATACTGGTGGAGTTGGGGGGGGGGGGTGATTGTGTCATTTGGGAGTTGTAATTGCTGGGATTTCTAGTTCACCTACAATCAAAGAGAATTCTGAATTCTAGCAAAGATGTAACTGAACCAAACTTGGCACACAGGACTCCCATGACCAACAGAAAACAATGGAAGGGTTTGGTGGGCATTGACCTGGAGTTTGGGAGTTGTAGTTCACCTCCATCTAGAGAACACTGCGGACTATGATGGACCTGGACTAAACTCAGGATACTCAGTATGTCCAAATGTGAACATTGGTGGCATTTGGGGAAAATAAACTTTGGGAGTTGTAGTTGCTGGGATTTATAGTTCACCTACAATCAAAGAGCTTTCTGAACCCCACCAACAGTAGAATTGGACCAAACTTCCCACACAGAACCCCCATGGCTTGAAGGGACCCGCTGGCGCAAGCATCCCTCCAATCTCACATGCTCTCCCTCGCCCACACATGTGAACCATGCTGTCATGCCATAGACTTGGGCCAAATTTCCCACACAGAACCCCCAGGACCAACAGAAAATACTGTATTGTCGAAGGCTTTCATGGCCAGAATCACTGGGTTGTTGTAGGTTTTTTCGAGCTATATGGCATGTTCTAGAGGCATTCTCTCCTGACGTTTCGCCTG